CCAGCTCCTCTGTCAGATCGATTCATTCGGGTTTACGGGTGGACCGGGAAGGGGTGTTACAGATCGAGCAAGGGCAGCACCACCACGAGCTCCACCTCCATCGCGCCTCCTCTCTCGCTCTCTCTGCCATCGCTAGTCGCCGCCGCTTGACGCTGCTCCTCCTGCGCGCGACTTCGGTGAGTGCTGCAGCCAGTTTTGGTCGATCCAGTGAATGCTCTTTCATTTCGTTCCATTGAGATTGGTTGAAGGCCAGTCGATTTGGTTTCGTCACCGATCAAGCAAACTCGGACAATAATATTTTGTTTGGGTATGAATTTATTTTATTAATTTTATTAATTGTGGTTAATTAATTTAATTTAGTAATCTTGGTTAGTTAATTTATTTTAGTAATATTATTTAATTAATTAATTTTTATTATTTGAAGTTAAATTAATTTATTAATTTAATTTATTAATTTGTGAGTAGTTTAATGATTTATAATATTGAAGTAATTGAATTTATTAAGGAACCTTGATTAATGATATATTAATAGAAATTTAAGTGTGGATTAAGGTAGTTTTAGATATAATGTTATTGTAAATTATAAAATTTTGATTGTGCGGTGAGCTGAGATTGAGGAGGGTGAGAAAATTTGATTTTGATTGATGCCCGATGGATGGCTGTGTTGGGGTTTGATAAAATTGTTGATAATTTTAAACAGTGGATAGTCCCCAATTGTTAGGGGAGATGCTGCCGAAATTCGGTAGAAAATTAGATTATTTTTAAGGACTTTAATAGAATAGTACGAATAAAATTATATCGGTTTAGTAGATTATATTATCATCATATTATTCTAATTAATAAATATTATTATAATTAATATTAAGTAATCTTTATTAGTATATTATAAAATATTACTTACCTTTTATTTAAAGTTGATAAATTAGAAATAAATATATAAATAGAAAACCAATATATATATAACTGGAAACCAAAACTAATAAACGAATGTGAAATATAATTTTTTTTTTGATTAGAATTCTTACTTAGAATTTCTTGTTTATTTTAGAAGGATTAAAAAATTCAAAAATGCGAGGACAAAGGCTGGAAAGCATGTGGCTAAAAGGCCAGTTCCTTTTAGAAGGACAATAAAGAACTGTGAGTAAGTGTTAGATAACTAGTATCATCCGCCTGCATTCATGCATTCACGGCAAATGTTATCATGGCATTATTTGTTGAATTGGCCCAATATCGTGGCTGCACTATTTGTTGATATTAAAAATTGCTTGATTATCTGTATGTGATATTGTGTGTCCTTGTTTGTGTGGAATTGGGATGAAGTGGGTCACCAATGGGTTGTTGAGACTGTTACTGTTATATGGATCCTGATTTCCTGATTTCTGTTAGCCGGGTAAATGGGAGATCGGGCCGCCCGTGTGCCCTACTGTTCTGATCTGTATGATATGGAAACCACAGGTTGGCTTCTTTTTTTGGGCGCACCTGATAATCTAGATTTGATCGCAGCCCGCAGGGTGGCCTCAGCTGTTGTGAGCGCCTGATGATCTAGATTTATGTGAGACGACCGGGTTGCCTCCCTGTTGATAAAAAAAAAAAAAAAAAAGAAGAGAGAAGACTGGAAAAATAATGAGAGGACTGTTGTGTGAGGATTAAACCGTCGCCAGAATGGGATTGGCTCCCTGGTGGCATCCATGTGAGAGGATGGGCCAAATGGTGGGAGGACGCTCATCGGGTTTTCGGTGACTCCACTGACTAATTTCCACGTGATGTGATTATATGAAGGTGATGATAACTGTGATTGCTGTTGTATTGCCATTTGTGTGTCAAACTGCATGATCACATAATTTAACGGGTGACCACATAAAATTATTTTAGCATTTGCTATGATTGTGTGGGGTGAGAGGGTTATCTAATTCTATTCACTGAGTTTATTTCTCACTCCCCTCCAACCCTCCCCAGGTAATAGATGGAAAGAAGAATCGTGGAGTCTAATTGAATGAACGAGATATGGTTCGATAGGAGTAATAATCATTGTATCAAATAATTAAATATGTAAAATGCAAGAATAGGAAATTATGGGAGTAGAAGTTCCGCAATTGTATTCCAACTGAGTGTAAATGAATAAATAAAGTTATAGACATTTATTATTTTGGATATTTTTGTGAAAATAAATTAATTGGTCCGAAATCCAACAATTACGAAATTAGCATATGAGTTTTAAAATAATTTAGGCTTACTACGGGCTTCGGGGCATGAGTTTTAAATAATTTAGGCTTACTACGGGCTTCGGGGGCCTTAAGCCCATCCAGGTCCTAGTGCCGGTCCGGCCCACGAAAATGGGTCGTGACAGTAGGCAACTTTTCCTACCATGGAGCCATTTATTAAATTTGTTAGTCTTTTTTTTTTTAATTTAGTGATAGCAAGTAATACAAACTAATTTTTTCTGTCACGTTAAGTTTATTTTTTAGATTAAATTAAAAATAATTATGCACATTAAGATTAAAAAAATTAATAAAAGAAGAAACATCACACTTGCTAACCCTTTGGATTAGCCGGTTGGGCCATTCATTGAACTTGTTAAGAGGCACGTGCTCTTTCTTGACATGAACATTGGATATGGCACGTGGGCCCATAAAGCAGAAGACATAAGGAAAAACATTAAACATACGACATGGATAATGGACCATTAGCCTGTCGTTTCGTTTAGAGTAAGCAGTTGGAATTTCTAACTCCTAACTTTACTATTATAGATAAATGATTCTTTTTATGTCAAAAGAAGAAAAGGAAAAGGGTGGTTTTCATAATTTAAATCTTATTATGTAAAAATAATAAAAATTGGTACTAGTGAATTAGTAGTTTTAGATGAGGCTATTAAAATTTGAAGCATTTCATGTTATCATAAACATGATCTATTATGTTTATAATATTTTTTATTTTTAAATAAAAAATTAATTGGTAAATTTTTTTATAAGAATTTAATATTTATGAAGATGATAGTAAATTTGTTCTAGCTATAAGAATCTTTGGTATAAGTATGCATGCAAGCCACTTTACCTTTTTTTTTTTTTTTTATAACTATTGGTATCAAAAATTCCATTAGGCTCCAACTATATATCCAACTTGAGTACTACAAGGTCCATTTAGAGGCGAGACTCTCTCAGAGTGACAATTTTCATACTTAAGGCTCGAACTTTAGTCCTTTATTCAAAAGATAAGGAGTCTCAACCACTCCATTCCAATTAACATCTGTCAAACTAATTTATTCTTATGCCAATCTTCAATTTCTTTTTTAAGTCAGATTCAAGTTTTAAGAAATTTCGACCAATGCCGAATCCATCCCATTCCATCGTTAGAAGGAGAGACCAATTGTTTCTTTGAACATGACATGACTAAAAAATAAAAATTACAGCACCATACAATGTGACTTGAGAAAATTCAATTGGTATATTCTTATATTTTTGAAAATAAATTAATTTTCCATATGTTTTGCTTCATTATACTACTAGTTTCTTCTATCTAATTTTTATATCTTTTTCATTAAGTGCCTTATCAAATGACAAAATATTATTTTTAATTCTAAAAATACTACATGTATTTCTCAAACTACAATAACTATACTATAATTTCTTCGATATTAAAGTTTTAATCTCTTTTGACCTTTGTTTTTTTTTTCTTTCCCTTAACAGAAAAGACATAAAATTAGATTGAATGACCTAATAATATAATTGAAGTAAAATATAAAAAAAATTAAAATATTTTAAAAAATACAAAGATAGATGAGTTATATTTCACAAACGAGAAGTAGCATAGTGCAATTTTTTCAATTATAAATGGTTCTCAATCCCTCCAACCACGTGTTCAAAGTCGTGCCTTTACCCAAATGGAACCCTCTCTTATTGGTGGTCCCACTATATTTCACGTACAGACATTTTATACGGAATAGATACTAGATAGATACCGACAATTTTTTTTCCATTTAATTAACTTGTAACATAATAATTATATTTATATACATAAATATTAAATATTTATTTATTTTGGTTCCTATAAACCGGGAGTTCAAAGTTGAGAGATGGAATTAGGATCTGAACCGGTCCTGTTTTAAGATTTTGGCTCAATCGGTTTTTAGATTGGTCTTAGTTTTGGTAAGGGTCCATTGATTACAATTCAATTACTTTTTCTAAAATCTTCTGGTATTAATTTTTTTTTTTTTCCCTCTTTTAACTTGGCATCAAGCCAAACTAAAATCAGTAATCCCCAATACATCAAGCAGTTCTAGTACTAAATATTCAAAAACTCAAAATTGGTATAACTAAACTAATTTTGAATTTTGAGCCAAACCTTTTTGCTATTAGAATTAGGCTGTATTCGATAACAGCTCTTAAAATAGTATTAATTATTTACGTTAGTGTTTAAAAGTTGAGAGTGGATGATAGTTAGGGTGAGCATTCAGATATCCAAATTGAATTAGCTTAGTTTCGGTGTATCCGAATATATTTTTATGGTATATAAATCTACAATTGAGTGGTATAATAATCGATCAAATTGAATGAAATTTTCAGTTTCGAGTTAGTTATTTCAAATCAAATTAGCAATTTGTTGGGATTAAAAATAAATTTCAGTTAGTTATCTATTATAATTGAATTAAAAATCAAAAATCAATTGGTCTTAAGTATCCAAATTGATCGGTAACTAAATTTCTAATACAACAGACCGAATTCGATCGAAATGAATCAGTTTAATTCATTTCTTGGTTAAAAACCGAGAATTGCTCACTTCTAATGACAGTTATTATAATTACTAACAGCTACTAAAACAAATTTCGGGTTGAACCGAACCTATAATTCACCCTATTGCTATTTTTTTGGAGTTGGGACAGAGTATTTTCCATGTTTTTCTTTTCAAATAGGATAAAAAAAAATGCTTTCTATATAGTTCTTATACAGTCAGTCCTCTTCTTTTTTATTATATTGCGCATGATAATCGTGCACTTTGAGAGAATAATTTGCAGGTCAACCATTACCACTCGCCCTTTGAAATACACTATGAACTATGCAGTGAAAAGGAAACCAATTATCACCATACACGAAAAAGAAAATGGAATAATGACCATATGAGAAATAAATTAATAACAGAATTTGTTCATTTCTCAGGTGAGAATATGTCACTTGTATTTCCTTTTTCTTTTTTGTGTAGGTTTCATTGGATGTATTTTATTAATACAAGCACAGTTAACAGTTTCTTTTCCCTCCAACCAAAGCAGCCTTTGGTTCTTGCTAAGCCTGCTCAGCCCTTATCCTCTGGCTTTGCAACTACATATCTGTAAGTACTACTATTTAACTTTACTCACATGTGAACTCAAAAGTTTCTTGAGATTGCTTTTCAACATTCTACCCTTTTTTTTTATTTAGATCCAAAAGCTTGTCTCTTTCTTTTATTTGTTTTGTTTCACTTTGAATGTGAACTTTGTTTGATTCTTTTAAATTTTTTCCTTTTGGATATGGCCACTTTTCACACCCAATCACCTATTTCTTGCTTTTAATGGATATGGTACTGGTTTCATGAAATTCATGTCTTTGCTAGTGCTTAAGTTCTCTTTCCTCTCTCTCTCTCTCTCTCTCTCTCTTTCTTATTCTTGTGAATGGATTCTTGGTTCGATTTTTTTTTTTTTTTATGTTGTTTCTATTTTCTTGATTATGGAGTGATTATATTTCTTGCTTACATAATCTTATTTTGTCTCTTAGATTTTACCCATACAATACAAATGAATGAATTCCAGCATAGTTTCTGGATTTTCCACCAATTGATTCCCTTTTTCTTTTGATAATTAAGGATTTTGTGGTTCTAGTGTTTACCTTTTCTTTTGTTTTGGTAGTGTTCTTTGCAGAGCAAGTTAAGTAAATGTTAAGTGGACCAAGAAAAGTCACCATGAAAGTGTTCTGGTTTCTGGTTTTCATGGTTTTTAGTAATGGAGTTTGTCTAAATGGGTTTACTAGAGCCACTAAAAGAAGACCAGAATTTGTGAACATTGGAGCGACTTTGTCATTCAATTCCACTATTGGTAAAGTTGCAAGAATTGCGATACAAGCAGCAGTGGATGATGTGAATTCTGATCCATCTATTCTTGGTGGAACTAAGCTAAGAATTAAAATGCAGGACACCAATTATAGTGGATTTCTGGGCATTATAGAGGGTACGTTCTTAGCAGTATCTTACTTGTTGCTTACTTTGAATAATTTTTTTAGAATTCATTGATAGATTATGATTCTTTATCCTTCCATTTTATCGCTGATTGCAGCTTTAAAGTTCATGGAAGATGATACAATAGCCATAGTTGGCCCCCAGGCCTCATTGACAGCCCATGTAGTATCCTTTATTGCAAATGAGCTTCAAGTCCCTCTATTGTCATATTCAGCTACAGACCCTACTCTTACTTCACTTCAATTCCCATTCTTTGTTAGGACATCACAAAATGATCTGTTTCAAATGGCTGCAGTAGCTGAAATTGTCTACTATTATGGATGGAGAGAAGTGATAGCAATCTATAGTGATGATGACTATGGAAGAAATGGGATAGCTGCATTAGGTGATAAGCTTGCAGAGAAACGGTGTAAAATTTCATATAAAGCACCTTTGAGTCCTAAAGCAACTAGGGATGAGATCACCGATGCGCTAGTTCAGGTGGCTTTGACTGAGTCTAGGATCCTTGTTGTTCATACTTTGTCCGTTTGGGCTCCAACTGTGTTAAGTGTGGCTCAATATCTAGGCATGATGGGACCTGGATATGTGTGGATAGCTACTAATTGGCTCTCCACTTTGCTAGATACTAGTTCTCCTCTACCCGCAGACACAGTTGATAATATTCAAGGAGTTATTACATTGCGTATGCATACACCAGATTCAGATCTCAGAAGGAAATTTGTTTCTAGGTGGAGCAACTTGACTAGTGGAATAAAAGGTTATGGCCCTATTGGGTTGAGCACTTATGGTCTATATGCCTATGACACAGTTTGGATGCTTACCCATGCAATTGATGCATTTTTTGATCAGGGGGGAAATATTTCCTTTTCCAATGATTCGAGACTAACTGAACTGCGTGGTGGGGGTTTGCATCTTGATGCAATGAGTATCTTCAATGGAGGAAAACTTTTGCTTAAAAACATTTTGCAGGTTAATATGACAGGTGTCACAGGTCCAATCAAGTTCAATTCTGACAGGAACCTTATTCATCCTGCATATGAAATCATCAATGTGGTTGGCACAGGGTATAGGAAAATTGGTTATTGGTCTAATCATTCTGGTTTATCAGTTGTGCCTCCTGAAACACTTTACTCAAGGCCTCCTAATCATTCCAGTTCAAGTCAGATATTATACAGTGTCATTTGGCCAGGACAGTCATCACAAACACCTCGTGGGTGGGTGTTTCCAAACAATGGAAGACATTTGAGAATTGGAGTCCCAAATCGTGCTAGTTATCGTGAATTTGTCTCCCAAGTACGAGGCACAGAAATGTTTTCTGGTTACTGCATTGATGTTTTTACTGCTGCTGCTAACTTATTGCCCTACGCTGTTCCTTATAAATTAATTCCATTTGGGGATGGAATAAAAAATCCAAGTGACAATGAGCTTGTGCGCTTGATTACAACTGGTGTGAGTATTTCAAAATAGAAAGTTGAAGATTTTAGATATGGAATGGTTCATTTATCATTTACACATTTCTTGTTTTAATCTTCTACATGTGCATATTCTGTATAGGTCTTTGATGCAGCAATAGGTGACATAGCGATCACCACTAACCGAACAAGGATGGCTGACTTTACGCAGCCGTATATTGAGTCTGGGCTAGTTGTAGTTGCTCCAGTTAAGACATCGAATTCTGATGCTTGGGCATTTTTGAGGCCATTTTCCAGAAAGATGTGGGCTGTGACCGCTAGCTTTTTCATAATTGTTGGTGTAGTTGTCTGGATTTTGGAGCATAGATTGAATGATGATTTCAGAGGTCCTCCTAGAAGACAATGCATCACTATTCTATGGTAAGTAACCAAGAAACCTATCAGATTCTTTTGAGGGAAAGACATAAAATACTCCCAAGAACTAATCTTTTGCATAACCATTTTCCTTGTTCTTTTTTTTCTCTTTTTTGTGAGGATGGTTCCTTTCGGATTTCTGCTTATTTCTTGTGGTAATTATGCAAAGCATTTCATCTTTTGTTCTATTTCCCCAATCATTTAATTTCCTTTTGCAGGTTTAGTTTTTCAACATGGTTCTTTGCCCATAGTAAGTCAAATAAAAAAGTTTACCAGTCTTTTCCAATAGACAGCCCCAAAGCAGTTTCAATTTTAAATTGACAATATGCCTTTTCCTATTTTCTGCAGAAGAAAATACTATCAGCACCCTTGGTCGCCTTGTTCTACTTATATGGCTGTTTGTGGTGCTTATAATTAATTCAAGCTACACAGCAAGCCTAACCTCAATCCTAACAGTGCAGCAGCTTTATTCTCCCATTAAAGGCATCGAAACTTTAAGGACGAGCAAGGATCCCATAGGCTACCAGCAGGGTTCATTTGCAAGGGAATATCTGATTGAAGAACTCAGCATTGAAGAGGCCAGATTAGTTCCACTTGTCACCCCAGAAGAATATGCTAAAGCCTTGAAAGATGGCCCCCAGAAAGGCGGTGTTGCTGCTATAGTCGATGAGCGCGCATATATAGAGCTCTTCCTCTCAACCAGATGTGAATTCAGCATTGTCGGTCAAGAGTTCACCAAGAACGGATGGGGATTTGTAAGTGCACCTGCATCCCTATTTTTCGATTGCTTGTTTGAGTCAGCGGTCACTGTCAATATTAGTGATTGAAGGATCAACATTGGCAGTAGGGCTACCAACTAGAATTTTTTCAATATTTCAGTTATAAATTTGAATCACTAACCGCTAGATTTTGCAACACTACTCCAACCATATTAATAGTAGAAATGCCAATAGCTCGCTCTCAACTCTAATGCAAAAAGGCAATAATTTTGTTGTTCTGCCAAACAACAAAACTCATGTTTTTTTTCTTAGCCATTATTCTTATGCAGATTTATTTATGGTGAAAAGGGTTTAATTGTTTTGTTATTTATTTGTTTATCAGGCATTTGCAAGGGACTCACCTTTAGCAGTAGACATGTCGACTGCCATTTTGAAACTATCTGAGAATGGGGATCTCCAAAGGTTGCACGACAAATGGCTTATGAGAAGTGCTTGCAGTTCCACAGCCACTAAGTTAGAAATAGATAGGCTTCAACTGAGAAGCTTTTGGGGCCTATTTATGATATGTGGGTTAGCTTGCTTGCTTGCTCTCTTCTTATATTTTTTGAAGATGTTGAGGCAGTTCAGCAGGTTTCAATCTGAGGAGTTAGCATCTTCTGGTCGAAGCTCAACATCTGCGCGTCTCCAAACATTTCTTTCGTTTGTTGATGAAAAGGAAGAGGGAGTGAAACACCGTTCCAAGAGACAACACTTGGAAGGGATCTCTAATAGAGGTGAAGATAAATCTATGGACAGTTCAAGTTCAAAGAGAATACATGATGAAATACCTTCCAATAGATGTACTCATGATGATGATGCTAATAGTGAAGTGTAAAATAGATTCATTTTTACCAAACAATCACATGGTGAAATAGTTTTTAATATAAAATTAGGGAAATTAAGCTCTTTTTCAGTTGGCTCTTCTGCAAGCTTAATGAGGCCTTCTGGTATATGTGAGTAAAAAAAAAAAAATGGTAACATTTGGCAGCTGTTTCTGGTTCTTCTCACAGGAATTTAATAAATTGATCTCTTCTGGTTTTAACAGTCATGTTTTCCAAGATGCTGGAAAAACATCCTTGGAAACTTTGTTTTGTAATCCTGAAATAGGAAAAAACAAAGAGGAAAAATTATTGCTTGGGGAGTACTGAAAGCAATCTTCTTCCCTGCAGAATCTGTACACAACTTTGTACACTTCGATGAACAGCTTCGGAAATCGACCAGCAAAATAGCTATCATATATCCTTCTGGAACTGGTCCAACAAGCTCCTGAAGTATTCATGCAAAATAAAACTTCATATCAACCATACTACATAAGTTTAAAGACAGACTAACAAAAAGAACACTATTTTCACTTGGGCATATAGTTATCCGTCAGTGCATGGAAATTTGCAAACGTTTTTAAAAAGGAGAATTGTCTGATAAGAGATGAAACAAAACTACAAAATTATGGAAGTTCGTTAGGATCAAATATGAGTTCACAGCTATCTGCCTATCAATGATATGCAGATACATTAGAAAGGAGAAGGTGAAGGAGACAATTTGATTTGTTTTTTTAAGAAAGATGATTCAAATTATATAAGATTCAAGAACTTTATTTGATTTGGGCAAAGACTCGTACTTTTTTTTTCTTATTTGGGAAACGGTATACACGGTTCTTGTGAATGCAAATTGTTTGCTTCCTCGCATTGGAGTATGACTTGAATTCAAAGTCATCCTCTCCTTTCTGCAGAAAATATTTGCAGACCTCTTGAATCAATTCATTTATGTGTCTTCACCTGCTCCTTTCCATTTTTGCTTAAGCATTTACTTTGTCTCTGCCGTTAGTCAGCAGCTATGATGCACGGAAACTCTCAACCATAAATTATATAAGATTCAAGAACTTTATTTGATTTGGGCAAAGACTCGTACTTTTTTTTTCTTATTTGGGAAACGGTATACACGGTTCTTGTGAATGCAAATTGTTTGCTTCCTCGCATTGGAGTATGACTTGAATTCAAAGTCATCCTCTCCTTTCTGCAGAAAATATTTGCAGACCTCTTGAATCAATTCATTTATGTGTCTTCACCTGCTCCTTTCCATTTTTGCTTAAGCATTTACTTTGTCTCTGCCGTTAGTCAGCAGCTATGATGCACGGAAACTCTCAACCATGGGTGTTTTCGAAACACCAGCTATGATGCACGGAAACTCTCAACCATGGGTGTTTTTGAAACACTGTTTCGGGGTTTCGAAAACGTTCTACATTTCTATGCAACACGGGTCAGCAATATAATTTTAATCTAAAAGTACAAATCCTAAGACGATTCTACGATAACATCTTACATATCAGGCTTCTGTCCGCTCTTCTTAATAAGCAAAAATAACAAGTAAAAGAGAATAATTATATTAATTAATAAACAGAGAAATATACACTAAGATTATTGCTGTATTTACAATTATATATACATAGCCCCAATGTCATCCATCACAATCACAGGAGTCAGAAGGGGCTAAAAGATTTCAAACACTGCTTGTAAAGTACTTCTGAAAGCAATCTTCTTCCCCGCAGAATCTGTACACAACTCTGTACACTTCCATCAACAGCTTTGGAAATCGACTAGCAAAATAGCCATCATATCCTTCTGGAACTGGTCCAACAAGCTCCTGTAAGTATCAATGCAAAAAATAGAACTTTTATACATAAGTTTAAATTACAAACTAACAATAAGAACTCTTTTCACTTGGGAATATAGTAATTCATCAGTGCATGGAAAAATTGAAAAGGTTCTTAAAAAGGAGAATTGTCTGACTGCAAAATTATGGGAGTTTGACGGATCAAATATGGGTTCAGAGCTATCTCAAGGGATCCCTTTTGTTCAATAATTTATCAGGTTTATCTTGCTTGCTTAATAATTGTATGTACATAGGCCTTGAAAAGCTCAAGCAACATATATTTTAATGTATTTGTAGGTTTGAGAAACGAACCTGAATTTCCTTGGGAAGTTCTCTATAATGATTCAACTTGTTTCGCAAGACGCGCAGCAAGTCCCGGACACTGTTGAACTTGTAACGCCTGTAATGACCAATGTTAGTGATAAAGGCAGGTTCCATCTTTTCATCCCATTTTCCACCAAGTGCAGTTGGTGCGGTACTCTCTAATGCTTTCAAGAGATCAGAAACATATTCCCTGTCTTCCAATTCTACGCGGTCACTAACATCACGAAGGAATGACAATCTCTTCTCAGAACTCCAAAACATTGGGTGGTGCAACACTTCCAATGCCTTTGGCCTTACAACATATCAAAGATAAATTAGCAACAAATACGATTAACCAGCCATAAATGATCTAACTTCTCATACTAGAGAGTTTCAACATAGCAGGCTAGCTGCAATGTTCACCATATGCTACAAATATCAACAGGGACAAAATTTGAAAATAAAATAATTATTTTACCTCAATTCAGGGTCAGGGTTTAATAGTCGGGAAATAAGATCCTCAGCTTCAGGAATATATTCTACTAAAGATAGATCCTTTTTGTTCTTGACAATATTGATATCACGTTCAAGACGATCACCAAAGGGATGTCTGCCACCAGTAATGCAGAAAAAGAGGACACAACCTAAACTAAACAAATCAACTCCACGTGTTTGGCGTCCATTAAGAAGCTGCTCTGGTGCTTGCCAACCAGAACTGCCACAACCTGCAATTGTGAAAAAAAAAAAAATCAGGTTGAAACAACTAATGACCAATTATGTTTACCAAATATAAGGATACAAAGTGCAAATGAAGTCCGTACTCCTTAGCCACCTATCTTATAATCATCCATTTCTATCCAGGTTTGACTTAATAACTCGCACTAACATACAAGGCTGCTGAACCTAGGATATTTAGGAGAAAAAACATTTGACAATATGATGGGCCATTGGCCCCAAGTGTAAATAGTAGTAACCAGAAACTAAGGGCATTAATAAACTACCTAGTTCAACAAAATAAAAAAATCAGTTAATACCACTTACCGGTTGCATGATAACCCAATGAAGACATGTCCCCAAGGAGGCGCTTGCTAATTCCCATATCAGAAAGCTTTGCACATAAAGATCTTTCCTTGAGTATTAATACATTTTGCGGCTTCAAGTCTCGATGAATTATACCCAGTTCGTGCAAATGTACAACCCCAGAAACCACATCCCTGCTTACAGATTAAAGATGCAAAAGATCAAGAAGATACTTAAGTGACCCCAAACAGTGCCTATGTCTATTAAACTTGAAAGAGAAATTAAAATTATGTCTCTGTGCCTTAAGTCTGTTTCCACATTGGCACCTTGGTTTTTCAACTAAAACAAATTGTGTTTCACTGTTACTTTTATATTACTTGTAATCACGATCCTAAAAACAACATTATCTTTTTGCAAGGGCAAATAAAACTATGATTGCTTTAAGGTCAAAATATTTGTAATGTAAACTTTTCTTAACTTTAGACAACATGGCATTTATTTATTCTATTCTCTTTAAGGAATTCCATTACGATTGAAGTTGAAGAAAAGACAGCGAGAAGCTCAAGAGACAAACTAACTTGCAAGAAACCACATAGGCGGTCAAGTGCTAGCAAGAAATACTACAAGAAGGTTTTGCTTAATTGATTCAATGGTAAAATTTAACACGGGCACTTTGCCTTGACTTATTTTCACATAGGTTACAGATGGGTTGAAGAGCCATAACTGGAAGCATTGAGGCATATATACTCTTATGGATTTCTCAACAACTTATTAGTAATTGAAAATACAATTAGTTGTGATTCTGAACCCTTAAGACATATTTGAGTAGTGTTGACCATCGTGAAAAAAACAAGATAAACATTAGCATGGAACCATCCGTGACCTTTAGGGTTGTAAATGAGCCAAGCCACTCAAAAGTTGCTTGAGACTTGGCTCAACAAAACCTTAATGAGTCAAGCTCGAACCTGCTTATCGAACTAAATAGCTGAGCTCCAGCTTTAAAATGAGATGTATTAATATCATGACAGAAGACAGCAAACTACTACAATGATACTACAAAGAAAAATGCACCGAAATATAAAATGAATGCAATTGAAATGCAAGTCAAAATTCAAACAAATAGATTTTTCTGATTATTTTCCCTGATTGCATAACAAATTGTCTGTATAATTCAGCTAGATAAAGATAGACTACAATGTATGAGAATCAGAATAGCTCCATCCATGATGTCCGTTTCCAGAAATATTAATTACTTGTTGAAGCAGAGAACAGATTTCTCAAATTTGAATAAAAAGTGGATAATAACTGAATCAAATGATGTTAATGTTATCTATTTAGACACAAACACCCAGCAATGTTTGACCTGAAGAGTAAAATAATCAAATAAGGTAGAAATCATGGACAATAGGAGATGGTCTTGTTCTTCTCTCTATAACAAATTGTCTGTATAATTCTGCTAGATAAAGATAGACTACAATGTATGAGAATCAGAATAGCTCCATCCATGACGTCCGCTTCCAGAAATATTAATTACTTGTTGAAGCAGAGAATAACTGAATCAAATGATTTTAATGTTATCTATTTAGACACAAACACCCAGCAATGTTTGACCTGAAGAGTAAAATAATCAAATGTACACTAGGAGATGGTCTCTCTCTCTCTCTCTCTCTCTCTCTCTCGCGGCTCGAAAACAGCAAAAGCACAGGAAGATTTTTGACATAGCTCATCAATGCTAATAGAAGAGATGACGGACTCTCTCTCTCTCTCTCTCTCTCCCCCTCTTTCTTGGCTCGAAAACAGCAAAAGCATAGGAAGATTTTTGGCATACCTCATCAATGCTAATAGAAGAGATGATGGATAACCGTTTGACTTCCACAAATTAAAGTCTTGTACTGTAACTTTCACTTTATCCAACCGATGTTTATACTCAATTGCAGCTGTAGTAGCTTGGTTCTCACTGAAGATTCGGTTTAATGAGGAATCACAGTGTATCTGAACCAAATCATCTAAACTGCATGTACAACGCTCCAAAGCAAGGTAGACAAAATCTTTATCATACTCCACCCCATACCATCGAACGATATTTGGATGCCTGTCTGATGCAATAAGATTCTGAATTTCTTTGAAAGCCACATCATGATGAGCTTGAACCAAACGTTTCACTGCAACAGATCGACCTTCATATATACCTTCAAGGACAATGGTACCATTGCTTCCCTTAGCAATTTCTGAATTTGATGCAAATAATTTACCAATTCTACGTCCATCAACACCACCATCAACAAGTTTATTAAGGTCCAACACTGTTTTGTCATTGCCATCACCAAGTTCAGATCCATCCCCATTTTCACATGACACATCTGAATCCTTTGCCTCAACATAGCCATCTTTTTTTCCTGACTTCCTGTTTTTCTTCTTTTTGGTAGATGAAGCTTTTAAACTACTACTAGTTGACAGCCCTTCTGCAACAACCTTTTCTTTATCCACTAGATTGTGGGGATAGAAGATAAAGCACAACAAAATGATGGCTATAAAAAAAATGAATGATAGTTTTCTTGACAGTTTAATGATGATGCTTATCAATTCTTCATAATGGAATCTTGTATCACGCACATCAACTGCTCCAGAATCATAAGGCACAGCAAGCATTCTTTCACTATCACCATTGGGCTGAAAACTTGACAGTTTTCTGACTTTAGATTCCAAGGGGAGCATCGAATTTGGAGCAGACCCCGAAAGTATCCTTCTTTCTTGATAATCCTCCACTGACTTGTCAACACCAGGCTGTGAAGGAAGCATTACATTTGGAGCTGGCAATGGAAGCTTCTCATCACCATGAGAAGCCCGAGAAGACAACTGTGGCTTACCCTGCCTTCTAACCGCCATTCTTCTAGACTGACATGAGAAAGGCAAATCAAAATCACTTCCAATTTCAGAACCAAGTTTATTGGCAGAGTTCAGTACAGCTGCTGTATCTTTACAAAGAAAAGAAGCCTCAATCATGGCTGCATTCATATTCCAAGAAACTGTGTCTGAATTTGGACCAAAAGTTTGCAATGCATAATCTGTCCTTGTGATGTATACGACTTGAGCAGCAGAACCAGGCGTTACTAAATTCTCATTATTTTTGTTGTCATCATACATAGCACTCCCTTGATCATTCCTTTGCAATATGGATGGAGAAGCAAGAGACTTATAAGTGCGGATAAGTTTTCCAGTTTTGGCCTCAACCACAAACACTGCAGTTGTCTTAGATCCAAGTATAACTGTTCCATCCTCTGATATGTGTGGGGTAATTTGGATGAAGTCTTCAATATTAATTGGAAGTCTCTGTTAGGGCAATAGTTTATCAATGGTTAAGATGCAAGCAAGTAATTATAGAAAAAAGATTAAATGTTAAGAAACAACATAAAAATGGCAGCATATCCTTTGCATAAAAAAACATCATCAAATAATCATAAAAAATGTTCCATTCATAAATGTGCTTCTTAGACATACCACCCCACTAGTGTGTTTTGCATGTGCATACAGTTGCCAGTCATCTCCATAATCTACAAAGAATCCAGTACTTGGTCCAGATGCATTTTCATTATCACTATCTTCATTAAATGGAGTTTGATATGATGAGTGTATTGGTGCTCCAGATGAAAATGACCAAAGCACTCTCCCAGAGATAGTATCCTCAAAATAAATTGTACCGTTTAGGAGAGCAACTAATTCTGTTGAATCTTCAACGTGTCTGCATTAAAAAGGAACCATACGATAAAGCAATATGACTAATTACACAATCTGAACTGAACAGCTAATAAAATTCTCTAAACAGCCAAATTGAAGTTAAATATTATAGAAAATTATATGCACATAAATACCAGAAATTATACCAGGTGGGGAATGTTAGTAAAAACCAATCTGGAGAAGGCATGATCAAGTTCTCAAGGTTAGAATAACTCAGGATTCTATAAGGCTGATCATTTTGTAAGTATATCTCTTAGGCCATCACAAAATAACTTTAAGGCAGGTCTAATACAAATATAAAAGCAAAAATCAACAAGCAATAGGATTCAGCAAGGCCCATGGTTCCAGAAGAAATGGAATATACAACTAGCAATTCATCTGAACTGAAATTTAGTAGAAATTAAACAATCTGTAGGGAAAACTCATAAAAATGGGAAATTTTATAAATAAACTACAGCAAATTGCCAAAAATCTCCCAAAAACAAGGCTGATGTTTCAAAATTCAACTACCTACGTTACAAAACCCCCAAAAATTACACATTTTTTTATCAAAAGAATACAAATATTAATAGAATTATTGATAGAGTAAAGAAAAATCAATAGAATCATAAACCAAAATTAAAAATTTAAACAACACGAAAAAAGGCACCGAAACTCACGAGAATGATTTTAGAGACCGAGCTCCAGCTCGAGTTGGAGCATTGAAATCAACCCATCGAGAACTCGAATGCACTATCTCCGTACTCCCAGAGTTCAATCCATCGCCGAATGAGCTGAAAACCCCCAAAATTAACAGTAACAACAAGCAGAAAAAACGGAAAAAATAGAGTTTCATTTCATTTATTGAAGAAATAAGTGAATGCTTGGGATTAGCCGATAAATAGATAATATAAAGGTAGGATTTTTCGTTTTTTGGTTGGAAGAGTCGTGCTGGTTTGTTTTCTTGAGGCAAACTGGCAAAGGCAAGAGAGAAATAGAGAGATTCCCAATGCTTAATGGAAATCCAAAAGGCGCAAAACAAGCATTCAGTTGAAGATTCGAAGCTTCTCAGAACCCTGCAATCTTCGGATCGTCCACCAAGTTGGGTTTTTTTTCTTTTTTTTCCGTTCTTCTGAAACTTCGGTCTTCGTCAACATTAGTATATCTTCAACAATTTTACGTGAGGGAATTAACTAAAGTTAAATTATTGTCTTATTCCTGAAATTTAAACCCATTAAGATTTAAGAATTTGTTGGTGTTTTTGGGATTTGTTATCTATAATTTTAATATTGGGGTTAGATTGAATATTTAACTCATTATAGCCTAACTTATATATTTTGTATAATTAATTAATTAATTAATTATAAAAGAGGGAAGAAAATAATGGAGGTTGTGGTAAATTTCTACAACGAATTCAATAAATCAAAATCAACTCAATTAATAAGAATTTATGATGTAAGAACAGTTAATAAGAGTCATTTATCTATTGCCTAGGGCATGTGAGAGAGTCTTCCTGAGTGCAAGTGTCCTTTTGCTTTTGTATCTATGGCAGCAGCTACGCACAATGAGATGAACGATATTTCGATTGCATCTCGATGTCTTTCAAATGATGAGGAATCTGAAATGGACCTCCAATAGAATGAGCAAATGCAGCAAGCTAAGCCAGACTATTCTTTACGTTTATTGGGAGGTTACTGACTGATAAAAAATTTAACATTGAGGCCATGAAAAGTTCCTTTGCAAATCTGTGTAGACCAGGGCGTGGAATTCGTATTAGTGAACTAGACCCCAAGGTGTTTTTGTTCTAGTTCTTCCATAGGGTGGATCTTGTTAGGATTTGGAATGATGGACCGTGGACTTTTAATAATCATTTACTCGTGCTTGAGAAGATAAAGGAGGAAGCGGATCCTAGAGATGTCCCATTATTTTTCTCTTCTTTTTGGGTCCAAGTTCACGACCTTCCATTGGGCTATATGTCTGAAACGGTAGCGTGAAAGTTCGGAAACTTCATTAGGGAGTTTTGTGATTGTGATATGAAAAACAACAACATAGTTTTTTGGCGATTCCAAATGTGTATTCGTGTTAGGATTGATGTTTGGAAGCCTTTAAAACAATGGAAAAAGATTAAGACAGTTGATGGAAGCTCTAAAACTGTTAATTTTAAATATGAACGATTGCTGGTTTTTTGTTTTTTATGTGGATGTTTGGGGCATAATGAGACCTTTTGTGATAAGCTGTTCCACTTGCTGGAAGGACATGTTGATTATGGATGGGGACAGTGGCTTAGGGCGGCGACTCGACAAAACTTGGTTTCAAAGAATGATTTGCGATGGTTTCGGGATGCTCAAGGTAATCAGTTGCGTCCTAAGGGAGGAAGCTAGAAGAGCCCTACTGAAAAAGGTGAGCAACTTATCAGAGACATGTTGGCATCAATCTTGGAGTGCCAAAATTCTCAAATTATGACTGGGGGCAGGAAAAGGAACCGGTAACAAAAGTTGTAATGGGCTCGAGTTTGGAGGCTAATATTAGGCCTAACCAAACTGAATTGGAGGATCTAGAGGTGCAGTTTTTGGAGGGTAAGAAAAGGGCTCGCTTGGCCCATCCTGTTACAAGCAATCCTTCTTCTAGCAGTACTATTAACTCGGGAATTCCTAGTACAAAGGCAGTAATGGACGAGCAGATTAAGGAACAAGTATCATGGAATAGAGCAGTGCAGTGCAGGTCTGCCGCTAGCCATGAATTGCCTCAGTTGGAACTGTCGAGGTCTTGGCAATAGCCGCGCAGTTCTCATTTTAAAAGAGCTTTTACGCTCTCATAGGCAGAGTATTGTGTTTTTGTATTAAGCTTTGGTTAGTCAGGGTACGATGGCTGAGGTTCTTTGTAAAGTTGGCTTGTGACATCCTACTGAATCGAGTCGTTGCATTTAGCGAGTCGAGTCGAGTCGAGTTGAAACGAACCAGAACCCGGTTCGAGCCATATAGCTCGAGGCACTACGTGAAGCGATAATAACGGCGCCAGTCGTAAGATGAACATCAGCGAGCGAGTCGAGTCGAGTTGAATCGAGTCGGGCCGAACTAGAACCCGGTTCGAGCCATTAGAATCCAAAGTGGGGTAGAATGGGATTGAAATTAAATACTGAAAAGAATTGGACTTAATTGAATGAAACATAAAGATAAAAGTATAAGGATTAGGACCTACTTGACATAAAGTATAAAGTTTAGGTATTATATTGTAAAATATTAAAAATTTAGGTACTATTTGGTAATTTTTAACATACAACCAGAGATATATTTAGAGGTTACCCAAAAATTCCATTCACTTGACCTTCTCCATCTTCTCCTTTGTCTTCTTCCTTTAGTTTACCTTCTCCATCTTCTCCTAAATCTTCCTCCATTTTTCTACCTTAATATTCAACATTTCAAGCATTAAATTCAACCTATAACTCTATCCAAGTAAGTTGATTTTCCCCCCCCCCAAAAAAGGTTTTTTGTTAAAAGGTTGTGGGGGGGGGGAAAATTTTTTTTTTTTTTTTTCTTTGGGGGGGAAATTTTTTTCATTAAATTTTTTTTAGGGGTATTGAGAAATTTTTTTGGGGATGATTAATAAGATGTTATTATGTATAGGAGAGGTGCAGCTCAAAGTGAAAGAGAAAGGAAGCTAAGAAAAAAGGTTTTGAAAGCTTTTTGGTTTGAAGCGTTTGATATCTCTTTTAGTTTATCTCTTTTAGTTTAATAAATTTTCTTGCATGAGAATATGTGTAGTGTGATGATAGTGATAAGATATGTTGCTGAATGTTGAGTAATAGGTTTGAGAACGTTGATTAAGCATGGGATGCATTGAATAAATGAATTGGATATTTGATTTCATGCTGAAACAGGTTTGTTGGACAACTGACCAGTAACTTCAACCTAAATTTGAACTTGTTTACTGATGAAATAGGAAGTGGTATAGAAGAGTTATTTGTTCCTTTATGTTTTAGCTGTCTATGAGCTTTGGAATCACCTAAATTGGACTTATACATTGAAAGATATGCCCAAAATAGTACAAACTGTGCAGGCTGGATCAAAATCTAGTCGGGACTGGAAGGTGCTACTTTAGCTCAATATTTGGACTAAACTTTACCAACATAATTCAAAAGATGTCATAGAAGCAATATTTAAGCAATATTTGTACCCTAATGTGTTATCTAACCATAGAATTTAGAATCACCTAAATTTGCCTTATAAATTGAGAGATATGACCAAAATGGTACAAACAGTGTAGGCTGGAAACCAACAGCTGGGCAGACTAGAAGTTACTAATTTAATTCAATATTTGACTACTTTGCCAACATATTTCAAAAAGGTGGTAGAAGACATATTTGTACCCTAATGTATTAGATAACCACAGAATTTAGAATCACCTAAATTGGCATTATAAATTGAGAGATATGAACAAAATGGTACAAACTGTGCAGGCTGGAAACCAACAGCTGGGCAGACTACTTGGAAGTTGCTACTTTTAATTCAATATTTGACTTACTTTACCAACATTGTCAAAGAGGTGATAGAAGACATATTTGTACTCCTAATATTTGTACCCTAATGTGTTAGCTAACCATAGACTTTAGAATGACCTAAATTGGACTTAAGAAGAAAGAGTTATGCTAGAATTTGTGAAACATGTACAGACTGCCCTGGCAGATTTTAAGGCTACATTAGAAATGCTGTTGGAATACATATGTAGATTCATTCAGCCTAAGATTAGTACTTAAATTAAAATAAAAAATTTCCTTAATTCGAATGTTCTAAACTAAGATACATAAAGATTAGTAAGAGTTGCGTCGCGGGTGCAATAGTTAGATTAATTTCATGCAAGTTCCTTTACAAGTTATCAATTGTTTGCAATATTACTCATTTGATATTACTTATAGTTGTTTATTGTAACATCCCAGGCTCTACCGAGATACTACGAGATATTGTGCCGCTTGGGCCCCAGGGCCCGCCACAGTTTTGTTCCTGGGCCAGGGAACCACTCCTAGGCCCAAAATGGCGTCTCGTGGAACTCAAGGCCTGTCACACCTTATGTACATCACTTCCACCTTGTGCTTAGCCGATGTGGGATTTCGCCTAAGGTGCAGGTCCCTGACATAACCACCCCCCCTTTAGGACTCAGGCGTCCTCGCTGAGCGTTTGCCCCACCACCAGCCATAAGGGACAAGGCTTGGCTCTGATACCAAGTTTGTAAAATCCCAGGCTCTACCAGATTATTGGATGTTGGGATGCATATGTAGATTCATTCAGCCTAAGATTTTTACTGAATTTAACCTTCTGAGTTAACTTAAATTAAAATCAAGAATTTTCTTAATCTAAATAGTTTTCATGCAAGTTCCTTTACAAGTTATCAATTGTTTGCATTATTACTCATTAGAGCTTACTTGTAATTGTCTATGAAATCCTCTTAAAGCATGAAAACAGGTTAGCAACATACAGAATGAGACAGCATACAAGTAAACAGTATGGTTTATGCATTTTATGAATAATGTAATATGTTTATTGTATTATTGAAATACAGATAATATGCTCCACAGATAAGGCTATGTCGCGGACATAAGATAGCAGGATCTGCGTCCCTACAGTTTGTACTCAGGCTACAGGCCGTTTGAGTGGATATGGATTTATATACGGGTCATAGCCAGCCAGCCAGTACAGTATTCATCCAGTTTCATACAGTCGTTGCTTATCACTGTTGGTTTCACTATAACCTTATGGGAGCCATACAGTTATGAAATTGTGTTATTTATAAATTATACGATGTTTATAAAAATTGTAATAATTCATACAGCATAATAACAATAGGTAAGACCATGGAAAGTATAATTGATATGTGTGCTACATGGCTTATTTATTTTAATTCTTATAAGTTGAGATATCCACTAAGCCTTTATTTGCCTCAGCGAGTTACCTTTACCTATTTTAACTCGCAGGTTTTGGGTCTGGACTGTAGAGAGTCATCTTTACAACTGCTGCAGTTCATCTTTTTAAGACCTAGTCTTCAGGGTAACTACTTATTTTGATATTTTGGTTCTGTGGCATGTACCGGGCACATCATTGGGCCCATTTCATTTTGAAAAATAGTGTAATGTCTTGTATATATTAAATAAATGTCTGTATATAAATGATGTATAAAGCAATAGCATGACATCATATTTAGCGTACAAGATGATATCAGCATGATAGGATATAGGTTCAACCAGATTGTAGCGTTACAAGATGATATCAGCATGA